GTCGAAATAACATAAAGGGAGTGAGTGCGATTTCATGCTGTTTGTTGTTGACTTAAAGCTTACATTGCAATAAAACAAAAATATATTGTAGTGTTGGATACTTTTCGTCGATAAAAGTTTATCGATTTTTTTTTTATTTTGTTTGTACTTGATACTAATTGAAATGACTGATTTAATATAAAAATGTATGTATCGAATTTTAAATATTTTGGAAAAAAGCAAATTAATTTTGAAGTTCCTTTTTTATTAGTATTTGTTAGTTTTCATGTGAATGACGGTTCGAATAACATTTAAATTACATTCTGCATGTAAAAGGTCGTCAGCGTCGCATTTACAAAACGTGCTACGCTAAGCGAATAAAACAAACGCTTCTTAGCTATCGGGGCATAAGTGTAATTTCATAGTGTATTCCTTTATTAGGAAGTAAAAAAGATAGTTTAGCATAGATCGACATTTTTATCGACAAGGCAACGTCACTACCGCGAACGGCAGCTTAAAACTCGCGGAGTAGAGATTATTTATATCATTCCCGCTGAAAATCCTTTAAATTTTGTTTATTCCTGAAAATAGTTCGTCTTAATATTATGTACCTACATTATATAATAAACTGCTACACGTTGTTACGTGCTTATTAAAGTTTTTCAAATATTACCAGACGGTTTTGTTTGGACATCAAGGCAGAAACAGCTCTTCCCGAATATATTGTTTTTTTTAAAATACAGGTTTCACTTCAAAGAACACACAGCTTCATAACACCTCGAAAAAATGCACTGTCGACCTATTTTTGTTTTGGATATCCGGAAATCACAGACTGAAAGCGAAACACGATTTACGGTTTTAATTTGTGGTTCGAGATTCGAGTAGAACTTCTTCTATGTCTACCACTCATTTTATATCCAAATTTACAGACAAAATATGTCAGAAAAATTATAAATTAATTAGAAATAATCGTCCCGATGGAAAAATAACCAAAGACACGTTGATTATTAGCCCCAAGGCGGTACAAATTTTAAACATAGGGATTCACGTTGGAAATTAAAATGCTGGTTTAGATTATAGCTAAATGCATAACTGGCGAATATCATTTGTCGGTTAGTTAGTAGTTTAATTTGTCTTTATTTCTACTTTTAAAAAGTTAGCCGCCCAAAATACTACGCGTTCATTTGGAAATATTTAAAATTCATTTTTGTTATCGGAATATATTGAACTATAACTTGTTCTTTCATTTGAGACATTATTTAAAGCCGTCGTGTATATAAAACTCAAAAACATTTCAGCACCTACCTTTTGGAGCAGCACTGCACGACCCTGACACCACGGATACCGCAGGTGAAGCCTAAAAAAAATTAAATGTAAGTTTACTTCTTGTAAGGCCGAAAATTATTATAACTATAATAATTGTACCTTCTTCGTGTAAGTCCATTTCTAAGATACTTTCACTTATAGACAAGTATAGACAGTATATGGAACCGGAAAATAAGGTGCTATAAAAATAAAAGTTTATCATACAACAAAAATAGTCAGCAGATAATGTGAATTGATCACCCGACATTCTATCGATGCACACAATAGAAAATAATAAGGTTATTTTAAAAAACAAATTGCTCCGATAACAATAATTTGTAAATTGTTGATTGTAGCAGTGTATGTGCTACGGTGCTACGACGTAGACATTTCGTAGAACTTGCAAGTCCTCAACTAAACAAAGAAGCCATTTCATATCTTATTGATATATATTATTATATATACTTTAAATAGTGAATATTATTATCATACCGTCTTGAAGAGAGACGATCCTCAGCTTCCCTTACTAATCATCTCAATCAAATCTCTTTTTTGCTCACCTACTTGGTAATTGTTAGTTCTAGGATGTGTCAGGAAGATTTTACTTACTTAGAGATATACATTTTAAACACAATACATAGTCGACCTTGCTAATTAAAGTTGAGGCCACATACCACTAAATGGCCTATTTCAGGAAAAAATAATTTTCGTCAATATGTTCGCAGTTCAAAGGTCATAAAATAACTACAATGGCTCGAGGTCATTATTTGAAAATTAACCGACATTAAATTTAATTAAACAATAGTATGTACGCCTGAGGCGGTCTGTTTCCGTTGTATCGGGAAACCGGAGCCAAATAAAAGGTGCTTTTAGGAACACTAGTATTGCGATGGTTCTGAAGTACTCATTGAATAAATGAAAAAGAAAACAAGATTTGAACGAGTGTAATTTCGCGCCCATAAGGCTTAACCGTTTTTTTTTTATTTTAAGGAAGAAAATGCTATATTTTCTATTAAAAAGTACTATCTTCTATTTAAGGGACAGTAAAAATACTTTTTTAGATAAAACTAAACAAATCCATCAATTAACATAATTTTTACATATCCACTTAAACCCTAAAAAACTATAATGAGAAGAAACTTTTAAACAGGATTAAAAGTGTCTTCTGTTTAAATAATTATTGCATAAAAATATCTACATTTAATTAAACTATTTTAATATCAAAGCTATCATCTCGTGCCGTCTTGTACAGTGGAAACGCAGTCTATGAACTGGGAGCATAATTAGCTAAGATGTTGCCCTGAAGCTAGACATCTTACAAACCCACTATTGTTTAACTAAGCAGAGGTATTTTTATTGATGAAAATTCTTAGAAACCTGTTTCTATTTATTGTTTAACGAGCTCAATGGAGAGCTAATGGAGTCCATTTAAACGAAATTAAAAATAGATCTTTATAATTAAACAGTAAATACAAAATAATTGAATGGGGCCAAACATGGGTGGGTGAACTAGTTTCACATTGTTGTTTTATAGCCAAAGAGTTTATGTATAGCCATGCATGACCGAAAAAAGAATATTTTGCCCGGTATCAAATTCGTGACCGCAATGGGCGACGACTTTAATCATTGATCTACGGAAATTGATAGCTTTTATAACTTAAATAACTGTGTAGAGACATTTTGAAGCTAATAGCTTGCTTATAAGGCCCATATAAACTAAGGAAATAGTAAAAAATGCCTACTGCGTAGATAAATGATTTTGGCTGTAGTTCAGCGCCACCTCTTGGCGAGTAACGACATTGTATACCGTGTACTTTTGCTTATTCTCTTTCAACATTGAAGGTCTCAATTTTTACAACAGAGGGCAGTGTAAACAGTCCACAATCTACAACGTTGAGTTCAGCCTTTTTAAGCCTTAATTTACTCATGCAAAATATTTTTAAAACATACGTTTGATATATCGCTAAAATTATTTTCTTTTATATCATATTTAAATAATCTCGGCCAATGTATACTGTATAGTGTAATACAAAGTAACTAAAATGAATATAAAAATGATATTCTTTTCTTTTCTTATATAAGATATAGATGAAACAATACACTTGCAATTGCGTTACAATGTAGCGTTGACTATAAGCTATACAAGGCTATTGTATAACTAATGAGCCGGTCTTATTTTTAACATTCGATATATAAATGTATAAAGCAATATCTATAGAATTGACAACTGGACGGTTGAAAACTTGAAATAAATTCTTTCCTTTAATTTATTTTAAGCACACGTTTTTAAAATTAAAGTTAATATAATTCACGTTTCCACGTGAAACCACAGACACTATAGATAATATGCTCCTGTCCTGATCGTCAGCGGGTAAACCCGTGGGCTGCAACAAAGCAAGATATTTTTCGCTACAAGTTTTTTTCTATCGAAACATCAGTTGAACACATAATCGCGCAATTGTTTTGGCCAACAAAGTCCTTTGTTTAATGAGAATGATTTTGCTTTGTAAAATGAAGTGAACTGTGTTTTATCGGAAAATTAGAAAAAGCCCTGAAAACATTTTTTTTCAAAAGGAAACGTTTAGACAGGTTTGTACGATACCTTCTGATGTTTCGTAATTTGTTTAATGCGTTGATCTTAAATATTTGTATTATTTGAAAATAATTTGTTTATTTAATAAAATCCCTAGTCAAATGCAAACATTTTAACGGTTAAAAATGCGATATATTTTAGTTGAACCTGTTTGAGTTGAAGACTATTTTTAACTATGGCTCGACGTTTCATATCTTTTGCAGCAGCCGTGGTCAAGAGGAAACTCCCCGTCGGGCCGTAGTTAAAAATAATTCTCTAAAATATATCGCGTTTTAAAACGTTAAAGTTTATTAAATGTGTACTACTCGCGTAAACTACAGACAGTATTTAATACTTTTTTCTTTGTCAAATAAATAAGTTTAAATTGCATGTGAAACAAAAACTGCTCAGATTATTATAAGGTAAATCAATATTTAAATGATAACACTGCTTGGGGTTTGGAGGAACACGCTCTAACAAGGAGATCGAGAAAGAGATGAACACCAAGTACATCATCAATTTGATCAATTTGTAATAAAAACTTTACAATAAAAGTGACGGAGTTTTTTGACAGTTATTCTTGATCGTTCTACACCCTTAATTTGAGAACTGGTAGTAAATGTATACATAAGCATATAGCCACGTAAATAAATACATTATTTTGGATTCGATTTGTTTATATAGTTAATGAATTTATTTAAATAAAATCATTTTTCGTATTGCTATAACTGTAAAAGCCTGTATGTTTGTCCTACCTTTCGTGTTGCTTCTGTTTAGGCAAATTTAATTAAATAACAATGTCCTATTAATCCCTCGAGACAAACCGTAGTTACTAAGCATATTCACAATTATTACCTTCTAGCTTATGTATGCTATTACTTTATATTATATAGTTTTGCACTTAAATTTTTTTTCTTTTGTACAAAATTATGTTGATGTATTTTAACGGCTAGTAGATTGCAAATATGTGAAAATATCTTTAACTCAATAAAAAGTTGTTGATGGCCATCGTTCGCCATCATGAGCGGACGTCATCACGTTCATCACGTCGAGAATCTCTTCTCGCTTACGTAGGCTGATCAGCCCAAAATACAATGATAATATATATATGTAGCATACTGATTTGTCATTTCAGGTTCGTAATATGCTGTACGAATTGTTCTTTATCCCCTTCTACGTCATATATACCTACTCTTCACACATTGATAAGAATAATTCCGATGTTATTATTACTTATGAAGGGCACAATGAAGCTGAAAGGGTCCTGAAACAAGGAGACGTGGTAAATATTCATAATATCATTAAGATGGTGGGAAACCGTTGGGACTGACGCAATAAAGACGAGACAACTGTGGTCTGGTGAAAAAGACACATATATGTGTGCGTTTGAATGAATGTGATATTTTATTAATAATTTCCTATATTTTCTTTCATTGTTTTTTTCCTATAATCAAACAATCGAATGGTTAAGATAATTATAAAAAAAATGTATACATTCTCTTACATTAAGAAATTTGGTAATCTTATTAAACACAGTATTGTTATTAAGCAAATAACGGAAGTAGTTATGGGTAGTCAATTTTAGTTTTACTAAAGAGCTATTGGCGTTTTAAGCGCGAAGAAGATTTTAGAAGATAAATAGTCATTTTTTGTTTGTCGAGTTCATGGGTTAAATATACGTGAGAATTTTAATTATTTAGATCGCAATCGTAAAATCAATGATTTAAATAAAAAAGTATAAAGAAAGAAGAAATTTCTTTCTGTATTTACGCGAAGCATAAATAACTAAAGCTACGTTTTTATTTTTTGTACTTTTATGCTTTATAACTTAAAGCTAAAACTAAATCCATTTCAGATACTAAATGAAGATAGTAAGTACACAACGGAAGACACGAGTTCTTTTCAAACGGAACCGAACGATATCGTCTTTATACCTAACGAACGGGAGGTCGTAAGAAACGAAGACAAACATGTAAGAATTGACGATTTGATGCAGAAAACAAACATACATAACATAATGAAAGTATCCACTAATACTGGTAAGTTGTTCTTGTGGTTCCTTTTAGTAGTATTTACTACTAAGCTGAACCCTTTAACGTGTAATACCAGTTAGAATTCCAGGGGATCAAAAGAATATTTCGGTCGGCCAGGGCACAAAAGTCTTACCATACTACTTCTGTTCATATACTATCTTTAAACAAGTGCCGCACGTATAGAAACAGTCACTAGAATATAACCCCACGTCACATTGGAAGACGGAGTTACAGCCGTGCTAGTTAATACTTCTTTTTTTACTTTGTTTCCTGGCGATCGTTTTACAAGGTCACTTGTAATCAAAGATTGTGGGTTCGATTTTCACATAGTGTTGTACTACAATTATTTCCGCGAGAAGTTTTCAATTTGTATATAATTTAAAATAAGTATATTCTGTAAGAGAAAATCATCTGTCATTCTTTCACATTTAAACGGTTTCATTTCAGAGTCACCTACCGAAGACATAATATTTATATCTGGTAAAAACAATGAAAATGTCGAAAAGACAGTCCAAGAGAAGCCCCAGGTTAAATCGAACCCAGCCAAGCCGATAAGGATAGACTGCACAAATTTGGATTGCAACAGCACGATGCAGTCCGTTTGCGGTGAAAAGGAGGAAGACAGGAAGCTAAGATACAGGGTGTTCTTGAACGAATGCTATTTTAGAAAGGTGAACTGCGCTTTTAAACATCAAAACAACCGTAAGTATTTTGCTGTTAACAGGCCTAACAGGCTTAGAACATCCACAACGCCAACATTTGTCTTGGTTGGCCACGAAATGGGCTATTCGATAGATTTTCAAAATGTACTTATTACTTGGTAGATGTAGAGGAGCCTTAAAAAATTGTGTTTTTGAATTCTGATACATATTTGCTGTAATACATCAAATCGAGAAACCAACATTTATATTGCACGCCTTAACGCTAATTTTGCGAAATAACGCTGCATTACGGCTAGTGACGTCACACAGACATATACACGAAATGAGTTACTAATTTATTTATTAGCACGGTGGTTAAAAGCACTGTTTATAAGCAAGCGCAAGTAAGACAAAGATACGAATGATTTTGTTCCAGGGTATAGATCCGTGTCTATGGAGTATTGCAAGAACATTGGCGGCAGAGTCTTGCCAAAACCTTACATGTCTAAGCCTAGTGTCGAAATCAAGTTGGATACAAGAAGGTTTTCATCTAGGAGGTAACCATCATAGTTTTTTAGAGTTATGGACGAATTTTTTGTTAAACCGCCATTACGCAAGTGCACCACCAATTAAATGACCAATTTTTAACAATTTAAAACTTATCAGTTTATTTGTAGCTTTGCCACGACTTAAGCTACGCCACACGATTTAAAAAAGCAGACAAACCACACCAAATTTAACTGCCACGATTTAAACTACGCTACAATTTGTATCTTCGACTTCTATAAAATTTGACTGGAACGTCGGTTCGTACTTACTACTTACTGCTAAATTTAGCAAAACGTTTGGCAATTTTTATAGTAAAAAGTTTTTTTTTTTGATGTATTAGCACCATTTGCGTAAATTTCAGACATACATTAAAAGTTATTATTGGTATTAATATTGCAGAATTAATGCCTTCTTGTTCATGGACATTGCAGGACGTTAAACATGGGCGTGGATGGTACATTCTGTGGTCACGCGTGTCCAACGCATTGCACTGAAGAATACGATCCACAGTGTGCAGTATCCGCCAGTGGCGAATGGCGAGTCTTCGTTAACCACTGTCAGTTGGATTTTAATTCATGTCTACATGGGGCTGGTAAGTCGCAATATTTAATATCTTCGTTTAAACGAGACAATAATAGTAATTCGTTTTTAAACATCCCTTTTTACCAATCATTATTGAAATATGTCCCTATATTTTCTTCATATATATTTTTTAATATATTTTTATATTAATTATTATTATTACATGATAACTTTTATACGAGTATAATTGTCAATATATCACGCTTTAATGGCTTGACAAAAAAAATATAAAATGAATAAATATTGAAATAAAACACTTTAACGGTTTAAAACGCGATGTATTAAAAAAAAAAAAAAAAAAAAAAAAAAAAAAAAAAAAAAAAAAAAAAAAAAAAGGGGGGGGGGGGGGGGGGGGGGAAAAGAAAAAAAAAAAAAAGGGGGGGGGGGGGGGGGGGGGGGGGGGGGGGGGGGGGGGGGGGGGGGGGGGGGGGGGGAAGGGGGGGGAGGGAAAAGGGGGGGGGGGGGGGGGGGGGGGGGGGGGAAAAAAAAAAAAAAGGGGTTTTAATAAAAGGGGGGGGGGGGGGGGGGGGGGGGGGGGGGGGGGGGTTTTAAAAAAAAAAAAAAGGGGGGGGGGGGAAAAAAAAAAAAAAAACCACAAAAAAAGGGGGGGGGAAAGGGGGGGGGGGGGGGGGGGGGGGGGGGGGGGGGGGGGGGGGGGGGGGGGGGGGGGGGGGGGGGGGGGGGGGGGGGGGGGGGGGGGGGGGGGGGGGGGGGGGGGGGGGGGGGGGGGGGGGGGGGGGGGGGCCCCCCCCCCCCCCCCCCCCCAAATTTTTTATGGGGGGGGGGGGGAGGACCCCCCGGGGGGGGGGGGGGGGGGGGGGGGAAAAAGGCCCCCCCCCGTTTTTTGGGGGGGCCCCGGGCCCCAAAAGGGGGGGGGCAAACCCCCCGGGGGGTTTTTTTTTCCCCCCCCCCATTTTTTTTTTTTAAATGGGGGGAAAGGGGTTTCCAGAAAACCCAACCAACCCCTAATGGGGGGAGTACTAACGCTTATTATTAGTTAAACTTATTTGAAAATGATTTTTAACTTCGGCCCGTTTCGCCAAATACCAACTTCAACGGAACAGATAGCGCTAGCGTAGCAATTTGACGTCAGAGACACCCTCCATCTTTAGTCTCCCCTTGACCACGGCTGCTGCAAAGCATCCGAAACGTCGGGCGAAGTTAAAAATCATTTTGAAATAAGTTTAACTAATATATCGCGGTTTTAAACCGTTAAAGTGTTTTATTTAAATGTGTCCAACTCGCGTAAACTATAGACAGTATTTAATAAATATTAGTATTGTTAAACTAAGTTTCTATTTGTAACGTACTAGTATTTTTTAACGTCTTAAATATTGTTCAGTTTGGCAAAGGCGCCCTCTATCGGAATGCGTCGGCGGTAAAAAAGCCGACATGAGACAGAACAGAGGCTTCATAGGGTGGCTGCAAAGGGTTGGCATAGTTGACAAGAGAGGGAAACTGGTGTTATCTAAATAAATGTTTTAATTTATTATACTTGTAACCTAACAATGCACAATTAACAAAATACTTTCAAACAAGACATATAAAAAAAGCAATCTCTTAGAAGGATTTGTGCAAAAGATCTTTTTTAAGAGAAAGGGAAGATTTTTTAGAATAAGATAATATATAAGAACTTCTTTTTACACAAAATTTTACGGTTTAAAATACTAACTGTAACTAATTGTAAGTTCTTTAATAATTTGTCTACGAAAAAGAAATAAGATTGCTATAGGAACTGTGTTTAAACCAGTTAAGTGTTAAATAATATTAACAACCGCGTTTATAAACGAAAAACGCGAGGTTAAACTAATTAAAAAAAATAATGCCATAATCTCAGCTAGGCCAAAACTTAAAAAAATAACCCGACAGTTACACAATATGATGACTTAGTATGATATTGCTTTAAAATCGAGAATGTTAAAATAAAAATCAAGCGATAACGCGGGGCACAGCTAGTCTTAATGAATGTCGATTTTGTCTCTAAGCTAAATGCACTTAGACCGCAGACAAGCTTTTAGCGTTGCATTAGACAAAAATTGAGTTACGTCTAGTATAAAGAAATTAAGTGGAAACACTTTTCAAACCTATGGCAAGCTGAGACGGTAAGCTTTGGTTTACAAGTTTGTTGTTTGATGGCTAACAGACGAGAGGTATTTCGCTTTTAGTAAAACTTGATGAAAAATGGTGGAAAGTCAGCTATAGACATTTAAAAGAGACAGTGACCTTTAGAGAACTTTTTAATTCAAAAACTAATGAAACGCAAATTTATTTTAAAGTTTCCATATATGAACGGTCATTCACCTAAGGAGTTCTGAAGAAAATTCCGATGAAACATATCTATCTTCATCTTTAAGCTAATATATAAAACTGAAGAGTTTGTTTGTTTGTTTGAAGGCGCTAATATCAGGAACTACTGGTTCGAATTGACATTTTTTTCTATTACACAGAACATTTATTGAGCAAGGCTATAAAAATAATGATTTCTGTTTAAATGATCTAAAAAAATGTTCACGACACTATACGTCTATCTTTTAATATTAACTTGCAAGAACGATGGGACGGAACGACGTCGTGGGCAATAGCTTCAATATAAAAAGATGCTTCGAGGAAAAACATATTTAGATGCCCAAAATAACTATAGCGCAAGGTCGCTGATACAGCTAGTTTAGGACAATTTCTTATTAACATAACTTAAGTACCATAGTGTATATCTAAAATTTCATCAAAACGAACTCAGCAATGTAAATTTTATTCATGAATAAAATTGTCTTTGCGCCTTTTTCAAAACTCCGTAACAAGATAACAGGCGTTTTAATCCCATGAATATTCATTCATTCATTCATTAATATTTATTCGTACGCTTTTGTTCCCGAAATAGCCATTGTGAAAAGTTTCTTAAAAAACTTCTTTGCGTTTAAATACAATTTTATTTGAAAATGAATTTTGTCTGTTCACTTTATTTACAGACAGTCAGTTCAGGCTTTCGTGCGCAGCTCGACTATAACATTTCACGTTCCCCGGATTCGAACCCAAAGACTATCGTACTTATTATCGAGTCAGGGCGGTCTCATATCCTGTTAGAGGCATATAAATAAAATTTCGTGAAGAGGCAGCCCTCGGTCCCATTGAAGTATAAAATGAAGGGTACTCGATAAATTTATTTCCCCTCCCAGTATATCATATTTTACATTAGTGTCAAACGCAAGGACTAGCTCTTAATGCTATAGAAACACCATGTATATAGCTTGGACCGCTTAATTCAAAACATACTAAAATATCCTTCGTTCTTGCTGCGTCAATTAGTGAGTTTGCGAGTTGTTTTATTGGGTTGATCGTTATATGGACCAATTGTTTAATGTCAAAACTTAAAATAAACTAATTACAAAATATAATAAATAATACAATTTTAAAGTTGGATTAATCAAAAACAAAGTTTCGATTAAGGTCTTTTAGCTTTAAATTCAAAATTTTGTACTATAATTCAATTTATAAAATAATTTTAATTTTTCCTACTCAGTAAATCTATGAATTATGCAAAAAACGGTTTTAAATTACCCTTTTTAAGAGCTTGTATGCCCCCGGCTAAACCGACTGTGTTATATTGTTTCTCTGGTTGTAAAGAAAAAATCTACATTCCAAGGTTCAAACAATAAATTTCACTCACATGCATTACATAAATTAAAAATAATTTGCACTTGATCCTTGCCTGAATTAAACTTCCCAAGATTCGAACCCCAACCACGAAAGCGGGTCTACTACACAACCGTTAAAATACACGAATGAATTCTCGAGAGACACAGATGAAGCAAGGGCACAGATAAGCTAATTTGAACAAATCACGACAATTTCACGTAAAATTACGCATCTCAATCGCTTCGCAAATTTGCCCTTATTTTTAATTAAGATTTAATTTTAGGGCTGCTACCACTTGCCTCAGTAAAGGGCAAACGTCTTGGGTTCGATTCGAGACTAACATGCTATAGTTTCGTCTATATAATACCGTAGTAACTTTTCATCTTGGCAACACATTTTACACAGCAGCTCACCTGCTACCATTGATGTCGTGAATAAATGTTTAGTGAACTTAGTGGTATTTTCGGTCATCAAACGGTCGCAATTTCGATGCCCTGTTAAATCATGTAGCAAGAAGAAATTAATGAACAATTTTTTCTTTAATCAATTTTGCAAGATTTCTTAAGGACCTATACATGTATAGAATGTTATTAGGAAAGTTAAAATGTATATTTTCAACCCTATCACAAGTTTTTAATTAAATATTTGAATTCATCTCAGAAGCCGCGATAGCGCGCCCTCATAACTATACTGCGGTCTAGTAATCTTGATACTTTAATTTTAAACATTTGTCTAAATAAGGTGGTTGGTATTAATGGTTTTAATTCATTTAGTTTTTTAAATAATCAATGTTAGTAACAACCTTAAAAACAAAGATGACTGTTGGGCGCAATAGATCAATGCTTTGTGTAAGATGTTGCAAGACTCGAAACGACAGTTTCGGTTAGACCGGGCACAGAAGTCTCAATAGCTAGTTGCCAATGTAGAAAAGAGATCAATTTGTGTTTGCCCTATAGGAATTAAAGAAACTGTTCACCCCTTTTTGACATTCATTATCAAAAATTATCTTATGTTCTATTCATTAATTGACTATAGATGTAGTAAGAGTGGAGATTTGTACTAAATAAAAAACCGAGTTTCTCGCTAGTAAGTGAAGTGGAAACTTTACTCGTTGTGTATTTTTGGTATTATAATTATCAAGGAATAAATGCACAGACTATTTATTATATGATTAAATAAAATATTAATTTGCGCTAACGTATGCGAACCTAACGATTAATATTGTTGAATTTAGATCAGATAGTGCGTTTTGACCCAAGTCTAGGTTTTATACCCAAAACAAAGTTTACACACGTCGCTAAAGTCAAGCATCTAGTCAAGCTATATAGCTGAGGTGTTATATCCTTCCATCAAACGGACTTAATGCTTAACCGTGGAATATCTTAAGCTTCACTAAGGGCAAAGTATCAAAATTGTACACTCGCACTACGAGATCTGTTAACGCTCGAGTCGTACTTCCGTCGCGAATGTTCTAACACGACTCGCTTTTATATTCAACTGCATCTCACGTTGACTTACACCGAGCAAACGATAAGAAGAATCATTTAGTACAAATGAAGCCGCTAGAGCCAGAGTAGCCTAACTACAATTTTATGACTTATATGTGTGACCAGTGACCGAAATTTGTTAGCAATTCTTACACAATAGGACAAATTCATTTTTATTTTCCTCCTTATTAAGAATCATGATTTTTATTATTAGTCCACTCTGCCTCTAGCAGCCTCAAATATTAAGAGAAAAAACCGTCTTTGTAATCTCTTAGCTTAAGTTGTATTTTTTATAAGAGTACAGAGTGATTAAACTTCACGGCCTTTTCATCTGTGGACGATGGTAGACCTGGATGGAATTTTCAATACACCTACCACGAATAGAATATTTAAAATTTTAGAAGTTATGCATGTCTCAGAAACACGTAAATTTATTTGATACATGTTTGACATAGTGGAGATTAAGCCCACGACCAAGTTTGTTTAACGACAAAAATCTATTTTAAATTATGAGGTGAAATATGAAATATTTAATTAAAAGTGTATATAACGGTACTTCTACCACGAAAAACACAAACTTCTAAATAATACAATTTGTTTCCCACTACCTATAAATATATAAAAGTTTTTGATTTGTATGTCATTGTATTAAGCCTATACAAAGTGATTTTTTTAAAAAGAAACATGTAAATAATTATTTTTAGTTACTTCCATATAATTTAAATGTGAGATGGGAGATTACAATAATACATTCAACGGTTCAAAACGCGAAACCCATACTACACAATCAAGGTTCCTACGTTTAACTACAAGACAGTTAGGGTCACTCAAATATGTAACTAGTTCACAAGAGAGTTTGGCGAAACTAACTTGATGAATAGTTATTTGTTGTTGCCCGTACCTACTAAAGGCATTCTCTCTTGAAGGTCAAATTTTTAATAAGGTAATCAAACTACCCTCACTATTACTACTATATACATTTTCCCTAGCATCAAGCCCCTGACCTCAAATCCTCTATAAGACTTTCTCGTTTACACATTCAAAAATCCTAAATATAATAGACCACCTGTGCCCCGCTTTTCCCCCCCTCTGTCACCCCATGTCCCCCCTTATGCCCCCTGGACCGTGAGTAAAGGCAACAGTCGACCCCTTTTGTCGTATGAATTAATATTTAAACAAGACATCTAGTGATGTGATCATGATTAGACTTTATCGATAACTGTTGTATGATAGCGGTTAATTATTTAATATAAATATAAATCTAAAAAATATATTTTTATTAGAGGTTTAGAAAATATCTACATCACTCAGGCAATTATAAATAAATAAAACATAGAGATTCAGAAAAATAAAATT